CTTTACTTTAGGATAGTAGAAGAAACATGTATTACAATTTTAGAGTATTTAAGAAAGAGGCCCCCGTGCTCGCTTTGGCAGCACATATACTAAAATTGGAACGATACAGAGAAGACTGGCATGGCCCCTGCACAAGGATGACACGCAAATTCGTGAAGCGTTCCATATTTTTGGGTGATGGGTATTAAAGAGGACACATTCTGCGTGGAGCACTGGGTGTTATGCACAAACAATGAATCATGGAATACTACATCAAAAACTAATGATGTAATGTATGGTGATTAACATAACAATAAAAAATTAAAAAAATAAAATAAAATAAAAAAGAGGCCCCCATCTCAGCCTCAGGCACCACTGGTCAGAGATGATGGTGTGCTGGCAACTGCCAGTAACACTTGGGAGCTCGGGGATGGGGTGGAGTAGCCCCAACATGGAGCGTTTGCCGATTACTGCCGTGTAAATACTCCCACTCTGGCTGCTTTTATGCTACCCATCGTGACTCAGGGTTGGGAAGGGATGAGTACAGTCGGCTCCCATGAGCCAAGACCAACAGGCTTCTAGAGAGCGCCGCCAGAGGCATGTGAGACACATGCGTATCTACACCTTACATGGAAATGCACATACAAAGACATAAATGCACAGACGTGTCCTGACGAAGACCTCCACACTCACTCACATACACACACACATACGACCCAGAAACACACACTCACACACAGAGATACACACAAGCGCAGATCCCCACCTTCACCTTCACACACATACACAGGCCACAGGCACACACGAACATGCAGACAGACACCAACGCCTGTGAACACTCACAGGGACATGCAGAGATGACACACACACATCCTCTCACAGACACACTCATAGGTACACAGACACTGGGCCGCACCGGGAGCACACACACGTGCCCACACATATACCACACTTCTCTGTGAAGGCTTCCTGAAACGGTAGGGACCATGAGTGACATACTCTATTTTCTGATCTATTGTATTTCTTTAACTGCAGAGAAACTCTGGCAGGAAGCATAAGAAATGGGTAACAACGCGGTCTCGGGAGGAAGACTTATCTGTTAGGAGCAAGGACTTGAGAGCCAGACGACCAGCTTCTCCATTCGTGGGCTCTGAGCCCCAACAAGCGACTTTACCCCACTGAGCCCTCGAGTCCTCATCGGCGGAATGAGGCTCCTAAGTGTACCTCCCCCAGCCTGGGGCTGCTTACGGATTGAATGAGCACCCAGTGTCCACACTACAGCATCATAGCCAGCACTAGGAAATGGAGGTTTGACTTTTATGCCTTTTTATAACTTCTGATTTGGGAACCACATGCATGAATTATTACCTGCCGTAAGAATAAAGGAAAGAAAAGACAGGAGATGTCATTGAAAAAATGCTTGTTGGGACCCAAGTAAATTGATTTCACAGCTGTTGCCTTGGCATATGGTTGAGAAGCCTCTCTCTCTCTCTCTCTCTCTCCACACACACACACACACACACACACATTCAGGTCCACACTCTGGGTCAGAGCCCTGGTCCATCTCTGCAAACTCAGGGTTCCCTGCTCCCCCGCACCACGGGCCATCTACCCCCACTACTGCCCAAGGCCGGTCCCACCTCCAGGCTCTGTCACTCACGGTACACTGTGATGTTAGAGGAGCATTTCATCTGGATGTTATTGCAGAAGCCGGAGCAGAAGACCTGGCTGTCACTAGTCACATTGCTGAGCTGGAAGGCTGCCCAGCCCAGGCCATTGCCCACTGCCTCCTTGAATAGGGATGTCTCTAGGGTGATGAGTTTAGGATTGGGACAATCTGTACTGCAGTTGACCAACAAGGACCCTCCGGCAGGCACCACGGGGGTCTGGACCTCCAGCCTCAGTGGGAACTGCTGTCCCTGGGCACCTGTGGGAACAGAGGGACACTTGCTGGTGGTTCTGGTGCCTCTCCCTACCCACCCGCAGGCCCCACCTTTCAACACCACCTCCCTGTCTTCACAGCACTCAGTCCAGTGGGGAGGATGGATGATTGGTCAGGAACTGGGGAAAGCCCAGAGGAAGGCTAGGGGAGACCCTGATCCAGCCTGGAGGAGGAAGTGAGTCAGGAAAAGCTTCCTAAAGGAGGGGACAAATCAGGCCAGTTCTGAAAGAAAAGTAGGAGTGATCTGAGTGAAAGGGAAGAGATCCTGGCAGAGGGAGGAGTAGAGACAGAGGTCCAGGGAAGGAGCGTGTGTGTGTGTGTGTGTGTGTGTGTGTGTGGCCACTGGGTGAGCCCCTGTCAGACGCGAGTTTAAGGAAGTGTTACGGAAGCCGGGAGCAGGATGGGCGAAGCTCTGCTTTGTCCAGTCCCCCACCCTCGACCAGTGCCCCAGCTCCAGGCCTCCCCAGCCTGACTCGCCTCACCTGGGGGCAGCAGACAGCAGACCAGAAGCAGGGTGATGGGTGAAGTCCCGCAGACCCTAGGCAGCAGCTCCGAGGGCGCCATGGTAGCCAGCCTGCAGGAGGAAGTTGCCCTGATGAGGCCCAGGGCTGTGAGGAGCAGGCGGGGCCCCCAGGGGACGGAAGCCTGGCCACAGCGTTAAAATTGCAGAAGTCCAGGGGCTGCTCTTGGGCCCAGACCTGGGGAAGGGCAGGGGAGATATTCCGTGGCCCAGGGGGTCCAGAGTGGGGGGACCCCAGCGACGTAGAGCGTGCTGGTGAGTCTTGGACGGGGCAGGCCTGACTGGCACCGCTGGTCCCCAGAATGAACCAACAGGAAATGCTAACACGGTTGGCTTCCTTTGTTCTCATACTAGGAAGCTCGGGGTGCGGTGGAGGAGGTTATGAGACACCTTCCTGCTGAACTAGGGCGAAGGGGGGTGCTCGGTTCCGAGAGGAAGTTAACAGGGAATCTTGGGGCAGGCACTGTCCTTGAGGTGATAAGTTCGGATTGCAAGGCAACATTTCATGAGAACAATGGAGGGACTTCTAGGTGAGGTCTAAAGGCCTTAGCATGGGATCTCGATATTCCTGGGATGAGGCAAATAAGAGATTTGGGGGAGATAATGAGGGATCCCTACGGTGAGTGAAGACATGAAAATGCACAGAAGCCCCGTTGATCGGGCCCTTGTGTCTGGTTCTGCGTTGACTTGTCTGAGTGGCTACTGTGGGGCACGTTCCTTTTGAAGATCTTGGAGGATTCCCCATTCCCTGTGTGTCTTGCTGAGGTGGGGTATTTATTTTATTTATTTATTTTTTATTTATTTTATTTTGAGAGAGTGAGAATGAGAGAGAGAGAGAGAGAGTACATGAGAGCGGGGAGGGTCAGAGGGAGAAGCAGACTCCCTGCCGAGCAGAGAGCCTGATGCGGGACTCGATCCCGGGACTCCAGGATCATGACCTGAGTCGAAGGCAGTCGCTTAACCAACTGAGCCACCCAGGCGCCCAGAGGTGGGGTATTTAGATTACAGCCGAATCCTGAGCCATCATCTGTGGAAGATGCTACTTGTAGCTGGTCCTTACCCCTGTCCTCACCCCCACCTTGCCCACTCCTCTGGGTAGCTGGCTTCTCCACCCCAAGAAAAGGGACTTGGGGTCCAGGTGGGTACCCCACTTCCATCTGCTCCATCTCTCGAGCTTCTGACCTTCCTCTTGTGCCTCTGATCTGAGCTCCAGCGAGGAACCTTGTTGAGGTCCTCAATGGCAGCCAACATCCATCCCCTCGCCCCATCCTGAGGCCACACCCCCTGCTCTCTCGGCTGGAACATCTCTCCCCTCCGGTCAGGTCTCTCCCCTGCTGCCCTCCCCACCCAACACACCCAGTCCATTTCCCACAAAATCTTCAGAGAGCGATTAAAACCTAAATCAAAAGTATTTGTAAATAACACCGGTCTCCCTCCCTTTTCTAAAGTTCCCTTCCGTCACTTGGCTTTTGTGAAAGACCTACATTAGTACCTGTTTTTGTCAACCGAAGGAAATCTGAAGAGAGTTTTCCCTTTTAGGAGAAAAGATTAAAAGCGAAAATAGTGGGCGCCTGGGTGGCTCAGTTGGTTAAGTGACTGCCTTCGGCTCAGGTCATGATCCTGGAGTCCCGGGATCGAGTCCCGCATCGAGCTCCCTGCTCAATGGGGAATCTGCTTCTCCCTCTGACCCTCCTCCCTCTCATGCTCTCTGTCTCTCATTCTCTCTCTCGCAAATAAATAAAATCTTAAAAAATTAAAAAAAAATAATAAAATAAAATAAAAAAGCGAAAATAGTATTCGGCATTGGTTTTGCGGTGGACATTATAGCGGAAGCGCCCACCTGCGCAGTGAGAGGGGCGCCCGAGGTCCTTCCCCGGCATTACACCAGCATCCCAGCATCCAGCCGCCGGAGCTCCGACCTGTGTCTTCTTTACCTCCACTTATTTTGTGCGCCCGGTGGCAAGATGTGTCCTAAGGTATCAGAAAAGCCTGAGAGAGTTTATTCTTTGGGTCTGGAAACACTAACAATTTTTTCCACATAAATTAATGATAATTACTTCTTCACTTTAGGCCATTTTGACTTACAAAAGGTTTCATCAGAACGCTTTACTTTTGCATGGCTAGGGAAACCTGTATATCTGATGAGGGATTATATCCAGATTATAGAAATTCCTGGAAGTTATAGAGGAAGTTAATAGGGAATCTCCAGGCAGGCAGTGTCCTTGAGGTGATAAGGTGGGACTTCAAGGCAACATTTCATGAGGACAATGGGGGGACTTCTAGGAGGGGCCTAAAGGCGTTAGCATGAGAGTTCAATATTCTTGGGTGGGATGCAAATACAGACAATAACTCAACAACAAAAAAACCCAATTAAAAAATGGGCAAAGGACTTGAATAGACATTTCTTCAAAGAGGCTATACAAATGGCCCATAAACAAACAAAAAGATGCCCAAGATCACTAGTCATTAGGGAAATGCAAATCAAAACCAGAATGAGATAGCACTCCACATCTATTAGGATGGCTACTATCAAAAAAAATAAATAAATAAAACAAAACAAAACAAAAAACCCCACAGGAAATAACAGTTGTGGTTGGGTTTTTTTTTTTTTTTTAAAGATTTTATTTATTTATTTGACAGAGAGAGACACAGCGAGAGCAGGAACACAAGCAGGGGGAGTGGGAGAGGGAGAAGCAGGCTTCCCGCTGAGCAGGGAGCCCGATGTGGGACTCGATCCCAGGACCCTGGGATCATGACCTGAGCCGAAGGCAGACGCTCAACGACTGAGCCACCCAGGCGCCCATGGTTGGGTTTTTTTTTTAAGATTGCATTTATTTATTTGACAGAGAGAGACACAGCGAGAGAAGGAACACAAGCAGGGGGAGTAGGAGAGGGAGAAGCAGGCTCCTGGCCGAGCAGGGAGCCCGATGCGGGGCTCGATCCCAGGACCCTGGGACCATGACCTGAGCCGAAGGCAGACGCTTAACGACTGAGCCACCCAGGCACTCTGGACATACGCTTATTTTGATTTGTATCTAAAACATGAGATGGATTGATGGATGAATGGAGTAGATAGGTACAATATGATCAAGTAAATGTAGCAATTTAGGCAATTGTGGAATCTAGGGGTATTTACTGTATTATTCTAACTTTTTTTTTTGTATATGTTCGTAATTTTTCAGTAAAAAAATGTTGGAAAAGAAAAACTGGATCCTTGATGGATCTGAGTGGCTGCTGGAGTCACAAAAGGAGGGATGAGCCTACTTTGAGCACCTCCTGCTAAGAAGGCACAATGCCCTCTGTGAAAGTCTTGCCAAGAAATGGCAACAGGCCTGGCCACTGGTTGGTTGAGGTGAGGACAGAGGAGCATATTAAACCACACCACACGGGCAACATCGGACCCATAAAGTCTACAGGACGGACAATCCAGTTTCTTCAACAAACGTGTTGCAAGGGGGAGAAAAGAGGAGCCCAGAATTTAAAGGAGGGCCTTGTCTGCATTTTCGTTTGAAGCAACTGTAAACAAACACCAAATATTTAAGAAACAACTGGGGGAAATCTAAACACGCACAGGTTACACAACGATACTGAGGAATTATTGTTAAGCTTTTTAGGTGTGATAATGATGGCACGCATTGTTTGTGGTTTTTCTTTTCAGGATACATACAAGTAAAATGATGTCTGGGATTTGCTTCAGAATTCTCCAGTGATGGGGGTGGGGGGGGTTGAGCTGAAACAAGACTGGCAATGGATATTGGACACTGCTGATGTTGGCTGTTAAGTTCAGGTTCATTACATTATTCTTCCCTGTTTTGTATATGCTTTAAACAGTCCATAAGAAAAGGTTTCTTTTTTTTAAATAAGTAGCTATTTTATTTGAGAGTGGGGGGAGGGGCAGAGGGAGAGACTCTTCAAGCAGACACCCCACTAAGCATGGAGCACAAGCAGGGCCCAATCCCACCACCCAAGAGATCATGACCCCAGCTGAAACCAAGAGTCAGACGCTTAACCGACTGAGCCACCCAAGTGCCCCAAGAATAAACTAAAAAAATAATTTTGGGAAGAGGCTGCCCTATCAAATACCAAAATATATTCTAGTGGCTATGTCTTTTACCAGGTGGCCAATTACTAGGCTTGATCCTGCAAGCAGCTGTTCCCACTGAGAATCTGTTACAGATAGCCTTGAACCTGGGTAAAATGATGTCGCATGTGGTTACTCACTGTAGCAGCATCGTGAACATGGCAAAGGATTAGAAATGATCAATGACCCCCAGAAGGGAAAAATGCTTCCATTTCCATGATGGGCTACAACACAACCATACACTAGAACAAGGAAACACTGTAGGCCTGGTTATGTGGGACTGTCTCAAAGACCTATCCGGTGAGGGGAAAAAAAAAGAGTTCTGTAGAGTAGCACATGGTACTATTAAAAAAAAAATGTGGGGGCGCCTGAGTGGCTCAGTTGTTAAGCGTCTGCCTTCGGCTCAGGTCATGATCCTGGGGTCCTGGGATCGAGCCCCGCATCAGGCTCCCTGCTCCGCGGGAAGCCTGCTTCTCCCTCTCCCACTCCCCCTGCTTGTGTTCCCTCTCTTGCTGTGTCTCTCTCTGTCAAATAAATAAATAAATAAAATCTTTTAAAAAAAAATATTTTTTAAGGAGGTTCCACAGCAAGTGGAGCTTGAACTCATAACCCCAAGATCAAGAGTCACATGGTCCACCTACTGAGCCAGGCACTCCACATGCTACTATTTTTGCAAAAGATGAGAAAGCATAGTATGTGTACAGATTTCCTTGTATCTGGATCAAGTGTCTCTGGAAGCAAAAACAGGAAACCAGGTGACATTAGCTCCCTTCAAGGAGATGACAGTCGTGGCTAATAGAGACATTTCACTGCTTAGGTCAATACTACCTACCCCCCTCCAATTTATAACTATAATGCATATTTAATATGAAAACCGTTAGATAAAAAGCAAACATCAATACATTAGTATGGAATTATCCGCGTAAGGGGAGCTGCAATGCACAAGGTCTTGAGAAATCCAATGAGAAAGAAAAATATTTCACTGCCTTTCACAATGTGGCTGAAACATTTCCTGTCTCAAGTACAGCTCAGTAGAAACACCCTGGCAAGGGCACCTGGGTGGTGCAGTGGGTTAAGCGTTGGACTCTTGGTTTTGGCTCAAGTCGTGATCTCAGGATCCTGACCTCAGGATCGTGAGATCAAGCCCTGTGCTGGGCTCCACACATGGGGAGTCTGCTTGAGATTCTCTCTTCCTCTCTCTCTGCCCCTCCCGCTCGTGCTTGCTCTCTCTCAAATTCATAAATCTTTAGAAAAAAAAAAAAGCAAAAATAAACCATCTCCTTTAAAAAAATAAACACTTTGGCAAACACCGGATTAACAACAATATCAAATGTTTATTAAGTACACTGTTTCCATGTGTCTCTGCTAAGCCTCTGACATAAAGAATCTCATTAGCTATTTACATTAGTCCTCTGAGGCAAGCATGACCACGCCCAGTTCAGAGTTGAGAACTAAGGTCCAGAGAGGGAGAGCCATTTGCCTGAAGTCACACAGGCAGTAAAGGGTGAACCTGGCAGGCTTATCTACGTGGCGTAGAGCCCCTCCAAGGCCTCCATCCTTTGTTGATCTATGTAGCAAGTAGTTACTGGGAGCCTTCTGTGCTCTAGGTACTGGCCTGCTAGCTGGTGATTCAGAGGTGAGCAAAGGTCGAAGAGTTTAGTCTGGCTTCTTATGCAGTATCCTGCTCTAGCTGCAGTCCCCAGGAAAGCAAGCACTTGCTGAAGAAGGGCCCAAGGATCACAGCCTCCAGCAGAGAAAAGATGAGTTTATTACCAGCTATTGGAAATGGTGGGTGTTAACTAAGGCCAGGAGCTGAGGGGGAGGCAAAAAGATCGGATTCAAGGGCCTGATTAGGTCCTTGCTTGTCCTGGGTCCCTCGGGGGCCTGTGCCAGGCTCACAACCATGGAAGGTATGACAGTTTGAAGGGTTGCATACCCTCAAAATTCTCCCATTGAAATCCCAATGCCCGACGTGATGGTATTAGGAGGTGGGCCTTTGGCAGGTGCTAGGTCATGAGGGTGGAGCCTTCCTAAGTGTCCTTATAAAAGGGACTCCAGAGAGATCCCGAGTTCCCCCCACCCTACGAGGACACAGCCAGAAGGTGTGGGCTATGAACCAAGAAGAGGGCCTTCAGCAAAACATGACTATGCTGGAGCCCTGATCATGGACTTCCCAGCCTCCCGAACTGTGAGAAATGAATTTCTGTCTACAAGCCACCCCATCTGTGGGATTGTTACAGCAATCCAAAGGGAGTAAGACAGAAGGAAAGTCACTTCACAGAGGTGGGATCTCCAGTCAGGAATAAGGCACGGGGAATGGTAAGGCTGACCTCTCCCTGTCAGGATCCTCTGGGGGCGGGGAGGCCCTCTGGGTGGGTGCCTGCTCCAGTCCCCCCCCCCCCCCCCCCCCCGAGCCGCTGGTAGGCCTCAGCACACACTGAACACTGAGGCGGCCTGGCCTTGGTATTTCTCCTGGACTGTCTTGAGAATGGGTATGAGGTTCTGGAAGGTGGGGCGGAATGAAGCCTCTGCCTCCCAGCAGTTCTTCATGAGGAGATAGATCTGGGCAGGAAAAAAGTGGGACTGTGGGGGCTGCTCTCTCTGCAGTCCGATGGCAGGGAGGTGAAAAGGGCGGGGGGGGGTCTCACCTCACAAGGACATCTCTCTGGCCGGGGCAGCCTCTCCCCTCGTTCCAGCAGCTCAGTGAGCCTCAGCACCGTCATCTGCCCCTGGGTGAGGCCTATGAGCTCGATGAATTTCTGCACGAAAACAAGACCAGCTCTTTTCAGGAGGCAGATCTCCCTAGGTAGAGATCAGAAGCTTGCAGGTACAGGGGTGCCAGTCCCGCCTCTACCAGTTCTTGGTGCGTAACTAGATTTATGACCTCATCTCTCTGGGCCTCGGTTTACTCACCTGTAAAATGGGGTGGTCACATCTACCACTGGGCTATTGTGATAGTTAGGTAACTAA